AGCAAGAGAAGTTCAGAGGCGGTTTTGGCATTGCCTGCCTCCACATCACAGCCCTGGCATTCCTTCGTTGTCTCCCTTCCAAATACTGACTAGGGCTGACCCTGCTTAGCTTCTGAGATCTGACAAGACTGGGCTATCCAGATCAGGGGCCTCCAGGCAGCGGGTGAAGTGAAAGACCTCAGCCTGAGACCCTGGGGAGCCGCTGCCAGTCTGAGCAGACCGCACTGACCGTGATGGTCCAATGGTCTGACTCAGTATAAGGCAGCTCCACATGTACCAAGATGGAAATTACAATTCCCTTCGAGTTATGCTTTAGACAACATCCTCTATCCATTTAGGGACTCACGCTTTTTCCCCAAGAAGTGGTAATACCCTTGATAGAAAATTTGGCTTCCTCTAATTTCTCTCCTAGAGAGAAACCTCAAGATTTGTTTTAGGCAACATTTTAGACAATGGTAACTACTTCTACTCCACCGTCTGTAAAGTAAACCTGCTCAGCAACATGGGATCCAGTGATTTTTGCAAATCCCTGCATTAGCAACCAGGCCCCTCACCCAGGAAAGTCCTGCAAATCACCAGCTGGGAATGGCTGCTTTGAAGGCAAACGGTTCAAGAGCCTGACTTACATTTAAGTTCCGCTTCTTCTTCTCTGGGTCATGTACAACGGCGTGCCTTACGAGACTTTGCTGTAAGAAAAACAGTGCTGTTTATACAAGGCCTGAAAAGGAAGAATGTGGACTTTTAAGGCCAACTTTAAAATGCTTACTTTCATGGAAAAGACTTTTCCACAGCCAGGATGGTCACATGAGAATGGTCTTTTCTCCTCATGGAAAGAGACAATGTGGCTTTGAAGATTAAACAGGGTGGTGTAAGTCCTTCCACAGCTTTCTCTTGGACATCTGAACACTTCCCTCTCCGAGGCATGAACTTTTTGGTGGCATCTGAGGTAATCTTTACGGGTGAACGTTTTGGCACACACACTGCAGACCACTGGCTCTGAAGGAGAAGACGACAAATTACTGGCAGGAGTTCTCTGAATGACCCAGTTTCTAAGCAGCAGAATCTAGCAGCAACCCCTCATTTCTTTCCTGGTGAATAGCAGTATGTGTGCATGCTGTATGAGCAGCATAACACAATACCAGACTATATTACCATGACCACCAGGTCTTAGCAAGTTTCCCCCACCACCTTTCATGCCTTCCAGCCGATCAGATACACACGCAGGATCCTTAAACCCAACATGCAAGTGATAGTATAGTAGAATCGTTGAGATTAGCTATGAATTGTGAAGTGTTTAGCTCAGATCTCACCTGTGAAAAGAACTCAGCAAGCTGCTATGTCTGAACCACACTACCCCCTCCCTATTTGCAATTACAGACTTAATATTGACTCTTGCAGGGCTGATAAAGCTTGCTAGATACATGTGATTTGCTGTATTTTTAACATTCTTAAACATTATATAAGTGTGGGTGTCTGCCTACAGCTACACATCTGCCTCAAGCGTTACCCAAACTTGTATAGTAGTATGGCCAATTGTTACTTGGAGTTGAACGTGAAAAGGTTAGGGTAGATGACCAGCCAAAGAACAAAAATTTAAACACATAATACAGCAGACTTTGGGATGAGATTTTAAAGTGAATTTCTGTGCATTTCACTAACTTACCAATATGTGCAGTTTTTGTGTGTTTCCGGAGCTGTGACCATGTTTTCCCAATAAACGAACATCCATCTTTTTTGCACATGTAGCCTATTAAAAGATGCCAAGATGAAGTTTAAAACCGCCTTCCTGTAGGATGCCCACTCCTCTCACTCCACAAGCTTTTGCTACCTTTACAGACTAATGTTTCAATCCACTAATTGGGGAGGGGCTGTGGCTTAGTGGAGAGCATCTGCTTTGCATGCAGTAGGTCCCAGGTTCGATCCCCAGCATCTCTCAGTAAAAGGATCAGTAGAGGGTGATGTGAGAGACCTCGACCCTAGACCCTGAAGGGCTGCTGCCAGTCTGAGCAGACAATACTGACCTTGATGGACTCAGAATAAGGCAGCTTCCCACTGTTAATGAGAACAGCTTCACAAGCACGCTTGCCACAGAGATGACCTGTGCATTACAGCTTGGAAACCACTGTCATTCTACATGGATCACTGGACAAGTGATTATTTACCACTTCACTTGAGAAAGACCGTCGGTATTAGCATAAATAATGTTGTTCTCTTTAAAGTCAACCTTATGTTTTAGCTACAGGTGCAAGTTCTCTTTTGTGTGTGGTAAATTCGAGAATGTGCACAGATATTCAGGCATCTCACCTAGACTAGAATATTCCATCAATTAAAACACAAAATTCAACTCAGAACTGGATGCCTTGATTCAATTAGTGTATATGGACTGAAAAAATAAGCCCTGTAAAATGTAGTGGGAGAAAAATAACTTAGAGAGAGATTAGAAGTTGCAGAAAGAACTGCTTCATTGGAAGAGATTATCCCTACCCCTAAAGCTCAGGCCTCCTTGAGATGATGCGACTGTCACTTGGATCCTGCAGAGACTTCTACAGACAGGCAGGGGGCGATTTTCTCTGATTCGCTCTGATCCCCGCCCCCAGCTATTACTAGGGTCCCCTGTCCCCCAGCAACAGCATTCCAGGAGGCATTTGGGACTGCAATCGAAGGAGGTAGGAAGTTGCACTCTGGATGGAAACCTTCTATTCATGAAAATTTCAGGCGGGATCCAAGCCTGTGTCTCGGCTAAAGACTGCAGGTGGACACTGACTGGGCTAGACATCCCCCAATATGAAAGATTTCTTGCACTCCAAAAACATTAGGAGAAGGCAAAGCTGGAACCAGGATCCCAGCCATGCCAAATTTCTGTGTACAAGGAAAACAGGAGTGCTTAATAGCGTGGCACAGCCTTCCCACCTCTGGGAGACCCCCGTCTCCACCAAGCATTAGAATCACTAAAAAGATGGTATATGCAAGGTAGTGAGGAGGCAGGAGAGAGTGCTGGCACACTCTAAGGCATATTTCCTGCCTCCTAAATATTCCCAGTTAATTTTTTAAAAGGTTGGCAGAGTTCCTAACACCAGTTAGGTAGTTTCTCTGACAGCTCCAGTGCAAGATCTCAGCTGTGAAGGCACTGGGAACACTGCTAACTTTTCCCTCAGGACACGTGGCACGATTGTCACGCTCTCTGTACCAGACAGAATTTGACTGCTGGGCAGCCAGAGAAGAAACAGTGCCCAATTCTGTGTGCCTGAGGCTGTGCACAGAAACAAGATGAAGCAGGCTGCATATCAGAGGACAACACAGCCGTCATTTCCCACCCTATCACTTCCAAGGCATTGTATAAATTAGGCTTAATGAACTCCATGTGACAATGGCAGATATGTGTGATCAAACTCAGATCTGCCCCAGTCATGCTGAAAGAGGTGGTGGGGGAAAGGGCGCAAGGGGGTGGATAACCAACAATAGCTGTTCGAAGTAGGTTGTCATCCTCTTTCTATTCCAGCCCAGGCTTAAACCTGCCATCGAATCCTATTTTGGCTCTTGGGAGAAACAGGTTAACATCCAGGATGGTTTCTTATGTTCTTCCACCTACAGATTCTTCCACCTTACATATTCTATGTGCACTGCTGTATCAACCTGCCTAACGTCTACAGTTTACTACTTTGGCATGGCTGAAACAAAGAGCCTCAATTACCTTCATGGGTCTTTTCATGGCGTTTTAACTGATGAGGTATAGCAAAGCGAGCTTCGCATCCTTGGTGACTACATCTAGAGGGCAAGCACACACACAGTTCAGACAAAACTAAGCAGAGAGTCTACGCGGCACACCCTCCCATAACATGGCCAGCTCTCTATGTACTCCTGCCATCTCATCTAGGTTTATATGTCCATTTAATAACATGATAGTGTTCAACAAGTAATCAATAATAGGCGCAAGTCTACCTTTGGTCTTCATGCAAGTTTAACAATATTTCTTCATTCATTTGTAGCCTACCTTCCTCACTGGGGTTCAAGGTGTATTAATAAAATATAAACACAGTTCAAACAGACAGCAAAGACCTCCAATAAAGTACAAAGTGGGACTAGAATTACAGAACTGGAAAATAATGCAAACTTGTCTAAGGAATGACATACCATAATGCAGACAGCAGTAAAAGAAATGAGATACATACAACAAATGTTGTAACTGACTTCAGTCCTATCTCCTATAAAAAGTAATCAAAAGGGAAAGCTTACTAGCTCATGAAAGAGGTACTAACTTGCACACTAAGAAACTGGAAGTGGCATGCTATTTGGGACAGGTGTGAACCATTCAGACTATTTCCTGCTATAAATCAAAAGGAATTAAGGTCTTGAGACCATAATCTCAGGCTTCCAATAAAGAAAAAGTAATTTTTCAAAAGGTGACTGTAATTCTGATCTACGGGCACTGAAAGCATCAGTATTCTCTCTCCCCCCCCTCCCCCGGGCCATTTTAGAAGAATAAGCAGCATTACTAAACTGTTCACTTACTTGAAGAATAGTTCTCCGGTATGTTGACACTGGTGAATTTTTAACTGCTGATGTTTTTTAAAAGACTTCCCACAGTTTTCAAAGTCACACTGTTTGGAAAAATCAAGTTGGTTGATGTTAGAGAGAGACCCAGGTGAGTTTATGCTAATGCACAATGTATTTGGAGGGTTGCACAAGGCCACCAGATGAATCCATGGCAGAGCTGGGAACAGGACCCAGATCTCATGGGCTTTCAGCCCACTGAATGACCCAGTGGGGCAACTCATGTACTTCGACCTCCCAGGGCTGTGGTCCAAGTCCTTCTCACAGGCTAGACACCCACGACAACCTACGCTCTGGGAGCAAATAGGGCAGTTTTACCCTGCCAAAGTGCACATTGGGAAGGTCCATCTGGTGCACGTGTGCTGAACCACAGCACAGATTGAACCGTTTCAGGTATTAGGGAGAAGCACCAACATCACAACATCAAGTATTAGCTATCTATCTTACTTAGGATATTTCTATGCCACCTCTTCAGAGTCCTACTCTAGGTGGCTTACAATTAAACCAACTTCACAATATTATAAACAAACCATTAAAAACACACCATTGGACAGCATCAAAATTACCTACAAAACAGAAGCAGACCATTTAAAAAGTTGGTAGAGAAACCCACTAATTAAAACCCTGAGTAAAAAAAAAAGACAGATGGGTTTTTGGCCCAGTGCATAAAAAAAAAAAGTAAAGTAATGAAGCAACATAAACGATTCCCTCATGCTAAGCTAGCATGACAGAAACATCAGTGCTACTTACCACATACAGACGATTGCTGTGCTTGCCCATGTGCTTACTCAAATTTTGTTTTGTTGCATATTTTTTATTGCAGCCATCAACTGTACACCTATAAATGCAGATATTTATGTTCTCAGTAATTGAAATAAGAATTAACATGAGAGTTGGTGTGGCGCAGTGGTTGGAGCACTGAAGTGGTAGGATCTGGGAGACCCAGGTTTGAATCCCCACTCTGCCATGGAAGATTGCCCAGTAGTCTTGGGCAGATCACACACTGTCAGCCTAACCTACCCCACAGGGTTGTTATGATGATAAAATCAAGAAAGGAAGAATGTTGGAAAGTACTTTGGGTCCCTGCTGGGGAGAAAAGTGGGGTAGAAATGAAATGAATTTAAAAAAAAGTTAAGTTAAAGGGCTGTCACCCAGACAAAAGAAAACAATCACATGGATTCCAATTGAAATCTAGTGCAGCACCCTCTCTCACTGGTGTGGCTGTTCAATGAAATGAAAAGAAGGGAGAAGAGGGACTCATAAAAGAAGTTTAAGTTAGTAATTAGGCATAGGAAAAGAGAATCTGAGAAGCAGATTGCCAAAAAGCATCAAGACAGTTAGTAAACATTTCTTTAAATATGTCTAGAGCAGGAAACCAGCCAGAGGAGCAATTTGCCCTTTGGATGAACTAAAGAATACAAAGAAGATGGAGAGATGGGAGAGAAGCTCAATTAATTCTTTGCATCTGTGTTCACTGTGGGACACGTACCCACGCTACAGCCACTGTTTTCAGTAAGGGAATCTGAAGAACTGAGTCAAATTCATGTGATTAGAGACAAAGTTGTAGACCTACTGGGGAAATTAAAAACTGGTAAGTCTCCAGGTCCTGATGGCATACACCCAAGAGTTCTCTGCAAACTCAGGTGTGAGATTGTTGATCTACTAAGCCATTGTGGCAATCATTCTCAAAAGTCCTGCCTCTCCTCTAGGGCTCTGAACCAATCATTACGATTTTGGCTTCATGCAAATCCAAGTGATTGTCAGCCAATCAGTGTCCATGGATTTCCACTGGATGGGAGGGGGTGAGCCCACCTCAGCTCAAGTGGGGTGAAGGAAAACTTTTTTCTTTTGGACAGGGATGTCATGGCTTTGGATGAGAGCATCTGCTTAGCTAGGCTTCTACTTAGGGTTTAGGGTCAGTTTCGGGAAGAAAGTTTGTTTCAATGTGACAAGTAAGCATCCTGTTAAGGTCCCATCATTCCTAACTTATGTGTATAGGTTCTATGGAAAGGATCTCTGTGTGGTAAAAGAGATAACCTGCTGAAGAAACTTGTCTGGATATATCAAATCTTCCTTCAGGGTTAATTTACTTTACTTGAGGCTCAGCTAGAAAGCAGTTACTCTCATTGGGGGAGGGGGGTGAGAGTCAGCTTTACATTATACATTGATGCCATCTGCACAAAGCATTTATCCCATTAAATAGTTTTATATTCTGACAAATTTGTATTTATTTATTTCTTCAATTCATTTGTACTACACCTTTCTCCCCAATGAGGACCCAAAGTGGCTTACAGCATTTTATCCTCACAACAATCCTGTAAGGTAGGTTAGGCTGAGAGAGTGTGACTGGCCCAAGGTCACCCAGCGAGCTTCGTTGGCACATGTAGAGATTCAAATGCGGGTCTCCCAGATACTAGTCTGACACTGTTGACCATTCCATCTCCACTTGTGTCTAGTCAAATATCTAGGAAAAGGTGATTTGGTATTTACCTCACAAATAATTACATCAGGTGCTGCTTTGGTGGGAAGGTAACAGTGTTCCACGAACCTCGGCGTTTAGTCATGCTAGCCACATGACCACAGAAACATCTTCGGACAGCGCTGGCTCTTCAGCTTGGAAATGGAGATGAGCACCGCCCCCTAGAGTTGGATTTGACTGGCTTTCGAGCAAGGGAAACCTTTACCTTTTTTACGGAGCACACAGCTTACATGCTACCAATCCTTTCATCAAGGCTTGTGTCCCCCTTTCTATCTGATTATAGGCAGCTGGGGTTTAAAGAATCTATAGGAGAAGCCAGAGTGGGGGATCGGACACTCTCTGGAAGGCAGCTGCCTCAGTGCCTACCCCCCATAGCCACCACACCCGTGTATGTAATTTATCTCTAAATTCAGCCGCTGTACCAGAAGGCTGGAAAGTAGCAAATATTACAACAATTATAAAAAATGGTGCAGAAGTGAACCAGGATATTACGGGCCAGTTAGTCTAACATCTGTCCCAGGCAAATTAATCAAAGACAGAATTATTAGGGGGGGGGAAGCCTTCTGAGGGAAAAATCACCATGCCTTCTGTAAAGTGAAGTCCCACCTCACCAACCTTTCAGGGTTCTTTCAGAAAGTGAACAAACGTGTAGATAGAGACCAGTGACCCAGTAAACATGATATACCTGGACTTTCGAAATGCTTTTGACAAGGAAAGTTTCTCTTGTTGTTTAAAAACTATTTAAATTACAGGAAGCAAAGAGTAGGGGGAGAAATGGAAAGTTCTTGCAATGGAGGGAAGTAATCAGTGGGATCTCACAAGGACCGGTTTTGGGGCCAGTACTATTTAATTTGTTCATAAATAATCCGGAACTGGGGTTGAACAGTGTAAATGCCAGGTTTGCAGATGGCACAAAATTTTTGAGGATGGTGAAAACTAAGGCCAACTGGGAATTGGGTGAGCGGACAACAGTGTGGCAAATGAAGTTCAATTTAAGTAACTATAAGGTAATGCACACTGGAACAAAAAAACCCCAATTTCAAATATATGCTAATAGAATCTGAACTTGCTGAGACTGAGACGGAAAGAGACCTTGGGTTTTGTAGTAGATAGCTCAATGAAAGTGTCAACCCAGCATACTGAAAAAGACAAATTCTACCCTGGGGATTATTAGAGAAGGGACTGAAAATCAAATTGCTAATATTATAATGCCCCTATTCAGCTCTAAGTTGTGGTCTCATTTGGAATATTGTGCACAGTTCTGGTGACTGTATCTCAGAAAGGACATCACAGAGCTGGAAAAAATACAGAAGAGGGCAAACAAGATGATTAGGGGTTTGGATCACCGTCCCTATGAAGAAAGGCTGAAGAGTATGGGAGTTTTCAGTTAGAAAATAAATGACTAAGGGTGGACATGGTAGAGGTTTATACAATTATGCACGGGGTAGAGAGTGGGCAGAGAGAACTATTTTGCTCCCTCCAAAAATACTAGAACTCGGGGGCATCCAATGAAGTTGATTAGATTCAGGATGAACAAAAGGAAACACTTCTATACTCAATGAGTGATTAAAATGCGGAATTCAGTGCCAGAGGATGTAGCATGGACACTGGCATACATAGCTTTAAAGTGGATCAGACAGATTCATGGAGAACTGATCTATCACCGGCTACAAGCTATGGCGGCTGAATGGAACATCCACATTCAGAGCCAGTAAACTCTGAATACCAGTGCTAGGAGACAACATCAGGGGAAGGCCTTAGCCTGGATTTGTGGAGGATGTGGTTGAGTGCTTGCTACCGCATAAGCTCACCATGGAGGAAGAGAGAAAGGTTTATACAAAGTACATGGTTACATCAACCAACCAGTTCTTATGCAATCAGAATCACAAAATGGGGGCAGATATTTGAGAATTCCCATTCTTCCCATCCCCAAATCCAATAGTTTACTATTGCTTCTCTCCGGTGTGAATAAGACAATGGCGTCTGAGATGGAAGTCTCTTGTGAATCTTTTACCACAGCCTTCATAATCACAAACAAAAGGTCGCTGACAAAGAGACAACAGGGTTATAAACTAAAGGACATTTATGTTTCCTGCCCCCCAAACTGCTCTTTCACAGAACACACTGTACTTAGTTCAGGATTGATCTTCATGAAATATGGAGCTAGTAGCCTTGTATCAGTATGTGATATTTAAACACATTAATTTCCCCACTTCCCAGATCATAGTTCTAGTTACCATTCCGCCTCTTACCCCATCAGGGCCATTCAGGCCTTCTTTTCCGCGTCTATGTTTGCTATTTGATTTCACTCACAATCTACTGCTGCCCTCACATAAGCTCTACTGTGAATATTCTACAGGCAATTCTCACTTTTTGACATCTGGAGAAGGTTCCATAACATTTGATCTACTTCAAAAATTAAAGATTTTATTTTTAAGGGGCCTTTTCAGCTTCAGTACTGAAAAATTCAGTGTTCCTAATATGACAATAGTTTGCTATACAACTCCACAAAGAGCATGAACTCTGCTGGCACTGCTGGTGAAAGAGTTACTAGAGGCCTTTCTTTTCTACAGCTTTCTCCTGCCTCTCCTTTTCCACAATTATGCTTATAAAAGCGTGCGTCAAAACATGGACTAAAAAATGGTGAGCTAGCTCACACTAACTCAGCTTAGAGGGAACACTGTTCCTAATATGACAATACTTTGCTATACAACTCCACAAAGAGCATGAACTCTGCCGGCACAAACAGCTCCTGCCTTAGGTGAGAGCAGAACCAGCACAGTGGTGAAAGAGTTACAAGAGGCCTTTCTTTTCTACAGCTCTCTCTCCTGCCTCTCCTTTTCCACAATTATGCTTATAAAAGCGTGCGTCAAAACATGTTCCGTCCCACACCATATGCACCTAACGTCGTGAGCCATAACCCACAAAAGCTTGTAGAAGTCTAGGAAGTGGTGTTGCTCCATCAGCAACACTCTAGAAATTCCTCCAGTTAAAATAAAGGCCATAGAATTTGGGGAAGTTCCTAGAGCATCATGGATGAAGTGACCAGAAGTGAGTGATGTATTTGTGACATCATTCCCCCATTTCCCCCAACACTCAATTGCCCCTGAGCACAGGCAAGGGCTGCTCGGCCTGCATACGGTACACATGACTGATCCAGAGGAGGGGGGCACACACAAGGATAGTAGTTCAGACAACTCAAAATGTTTTCCTGCTGGATGTGGGTTTCCTTCTGGTCCAGCAGCCCCCAACATGGTGCTTGCTAATGTTTTTCTTGGTGCCCACTTCCCTGTTCCCCAAACCAAACCCTGTTCCCCAAACCTGGCTTTCCTCCATCTCTGTGGAACGGGAGGGGGGGGGGCTTCAGAAGACCCCAGGAAGAATCACTTCTATCTCTGCAAGGAGGACCCAGTCAGAAATAGCTGCTCCACCTTTATGTCATAAGTGGACCCTTAGCTTGGAATTTCCCAGCATTTCTGTTATTAGCTTTGTGGCAGCCATTTTGTGGTCATTTGCCAGGCGTTTTGTGGTAGTGCCTACTGCCTGTTTTTAAACAGCAACACAAAGCATGGGGTTCACCTATGCTGCAGCTGGGGCCATGGTTCCTCCCAACTTCTCTGTAGGCATGCTATAACTTCTGCTTCAGTTTATGGTCTTACAGTTTGGCAGTTTATGGATAGAATATTCTGGGCATGAGGTAGAATGGAAGACAGCTGTCAAATTGTAGAGATTAGAGTCTTTGTGTGTAGGACTGAGGACACCCAGGTCCATGTCCCCCTTTTGCCATGGAATTTGGCTGAGTAACTTTAGACCACTTTCTTGTTCTTAGCCTAATGTACTTAACAGCATTGGTGTGAGGACAGAAAATATATTTTCAAAATAGTTATAATTATTGCAATCAGTTTGAAATAATTCATAATTATAAGTTTGTTATGCATCATATTTAAAATAGAATACAAATAATGTTAAAATTATGTATTTTTGGTATTTTTAAATATGTGTGTGCATGCATTGTGTGCACCTGGAAGTCATAGTGACCTGTGGTGACTGACCCCTACTGGGGGCCTGGAGGATATTCAGAGAGGTGGCTGAATAAAGCCTGCCCCTGCCTTCCACCTCTGGTATTTCAAGGAGGTCTCCCATCCAAATACTTGCCAGAGTTGACTTCCAAGATCTGATGAGATCGGGCTTAAGAATTATATTTTACTTGGGGAAGGGTGAGTGAATAGGAAGCTATTGGTATTAAACCAGCTGTTATTTTTTTAACATCTAAGAACATTGTTAGCAAGGGGAGAAGGGGAGTTGGTTTAGAAACATGTAATGTGGGGGTTCCCAGTTCTGTGTAAGCAAGACCTCAGGAGCTTTTAGAGGGGGGAGCGATGTCATGTCAAAGTCTAGGAAGTGGTGTTGCTCCATCAGCAACACTCTAGAAATTCCTCCAGTTATAGTAAAGGCCATAGAATTTGGGGAAGTTCCTAGAGCATCATGGATGAAGTGACCAGAAGTGACTCTTGTATTTGTGACATCATTCCCCCATTTCCCCACCACTCAATTGCCCCTGAGCACAGGCAAGGGCTGCTAGGCCTGCATGCGGTACACATGACTGATCCAAAGGAGGGGGGCACACAGAAGGATAGTATAACAGTTCAGACAACTCAAAATGTTTTCCTGCCGGATGTAGGTTTCCTTCTGGTCCAGCAGCCCCCAACATGGTGCTTGCTAATGTTTTTCTTGGTGCCCACTTCCCTGTTCCCCAAACCAAAGAGCCAATCCTGGCTTTCCTCCATCTCTGTGGAACGGGGGAGGGGGCTTCAGAAGACCCCAGGAAGAATCACTTCTATCTCTGCAAGGAGGACCCAGTCAGAAATAGCTGCTCCACCTTTATGTCATAAGTGGACCCTTAGCTTGGAATTTCCCAGCATTTCTGTTATTAGCTTTGTGGCAGCCATTTTGTGGTCACTTGCCAGGCGTTTTGTGGTAGTGCCTACTGCCTGTTTTTAAACAGCAACACAAAGCATGGGGTTCACCTATGCTGCAGCTGGGGCCATGGTTCCTCCAACTCCTCTGTAGGCATGCTATAACTTCTGCTTCAGTTTATGGTCTTACAGTTTGGCAGTTTATGGATAGAATATTCTGGGCATGAGGTAGAATGGAAGAGAGCTGTCAAATTGTAGAGATTAGAGCCTTTGTGTGTAGGACTGAGGACACCCAGGTCCATGTCCCCCTTTTGCCATGGAATTTGGCTGAGTAACTTTAGACCACTTTCTTGTTCTTAGCCTAATGTACTTAACAGCATTGGTGTGAGGACAGAAGAGGGAGAGGAGAACAGTACATGCCATCCCAATCTCCGTGGAGGAAGGGTAGAATAAGAATCTTACCGACTGTGAACCGTTAGGGGTGCCAACCAGTGTTCCCTCTAAGCTGAGTCAGTGTGAGCTAGCTCACAGTTTTTTAGCCTCCAGCTCACCGTTTTTTGTCTTAGCTCAGGAAGGAGCTAAGCTCCAGAGCAGGCTAATTTATGCAGGAGCCCAATCGCTCGCTCACAGCTTTAATGCCAGTAGCTCACAAAGTAGAATTTCTGCTCACAAGATTCCACAGCTTAGAGGGAACATTGGTGCCAACAGGCCTAGAGAAAGAAATGTCGTGTCCCTGTAATCAAGGCTCACTGTGGAAATGGGCAGATGAAGAGCTTTTCAGGGCAGGGAAGTATGAACTGAGATCGAGGCAGCTTCATAACAAGTGATTTCTTTATTTCAGCTCAGAACACAACACACACACAACAAGCTAACTTTATACATTTTGAACCAGGAAAACCACACCTCTTGAGAGGATAACGTCCAATCAAAACATTGTGCTTGGGACCAATAAGAATTGCTCCCGCCAAGAGTCAAGGTCTCTCCGGATTGGTCCATTCGCAGCATTGACCAATCCGGTTTCGCATTTCAGAATGCTAGGCTTCTATGGAGCTGTAACCCAAGCTCCCATCTACAACACCGTAAACTTGAATACATAACAGGAAGTAAATAACATCACCTGGCATATGACATCACATTATAAAAGGGACACAAAATTTTTGCTTCGGGCAGTTAGCAACCTTCTGGACCGCCCCCCCCCCCCCCCCTGTGTTGTAACTGACTAGCACTTGCCGGCTCTGGCTGTTCGTGCAAAGAATGCTGAACTGGGTGGACTTTGATCTGATCCAGTCTGAAAGACATGGCTGTATACAAGAGATAGGATCACGTAACACAGATTATTTCTGAACTGTTAAGAGACCACACAAGTATGCAGTCTTGATTTGTAAATGTAGAAGAACCCTTTGCTAGACCACAAAGAAAACAATCCTAAGCATGTCTACTCAGAATCCTACTTAATGAGGCTTACTCCCAGCCAGGAGAGTGTTTTTAGGATTGCACTGAAAATTACCAGAGTGGTTTTTTGTGTGTTGTTGTTGTTTTAAAAGACTATGTAAATTCACCTCAGGAATATTCAGTCATTCATGAAACTGCTATCTAGTTCTTGCTCCTTATGATGCCATCAACATTAAGTTAATCTACTTATCTATGGGAGCTAGATTTGACTCCAGTAGCACCATAGCACATCAGGTAACCCTAAGAGAGAGGGAAACTTTAATTCCCCCCCCCTTTTCCTCCCCTTTTCTTTTTGGAAAAAGTCTCCCCAGCTGTTTTTGCCTCCATACTTGGGTGAACTTGCACATGTCTGCACCAGGCAGAGATTCAAGAAGCTTAGTGGAGGCTTTTCCAGAAAGAAAATGGCAGGGAAGGGTTAAAGTTTCCCTCTCCTCTTTGATAAAGGTATCCTGACAGTACCTTTGCAGAAGAAAACATGTTTAAAATAAATATGAGGGAGAAAGTGTAACAGCCCTATGTTTTAAGTACTGGAAAGTAATGGTCTAAAATTTTGTTAGGTACCATTTAGCTCACTGTGTAAGTTATAAAGAAACAATCCTTCTAGGAAAACAGAGCTACAGGAAAGAATCCAGAAGCCTGGTTCTTAATTGTCATTAATACAATCCATATGTTACAT